AATTTTACAACAAAAACAATTTTTCCAGCACAAATAAATCACTTTGTGTTTCTTTTATAATGTTGAAAAAATCCAAACATCACATTTAAATCAATCAGTTAAAACTGCCATGCTTTAAAAAAATACAATGTATTTATTTATGACCTAAATCTTTATCATCTTCTAACAAATAATCCATTTATTTTTACAACAAATCAGAAAAACGTAAGAAAAAACTCTTGTTTTATTCTATCATCATTATTATTAAAACAGTACATATTTGTGTTGAACTATTTCACATAAAGCTTACACATAATGAGAAAAGGCAGACAAGACTAACAAGTGAAACCCAACTTGTAATTGTCTAATTTGAGCAATGACACAAAATGGCCACAAGAGGGCGCTAATGAGCTGTAAAATTATGGTTTTGCTTGATGGAAATTTTGCAACAATTTTTCCAGCACAAATAAATCACTGTGTTTCTACTATAATGTTGAAAGAATCCAAACATCACATTTAAATCTCTTCACCGTGTTCTGTGCATGAAGGAGTCACTAAAATCTTCTGTCACTGCTTTATGTGGTTTGATCACTGAAGAACAAGATCAGGTGTCTGATGCATCAACTTTGAACATTTCAGCTTCACAGCAGGTGTTTTTAGGAGAACCTTGGTGGTTCGATGAGATAAAAATGAGAAAAATAAAAGTTTACATGAACTCTTACCTTTAGAGATTCTGCAAACAAAACTAAAATCTACAAATTGGGCATTTAATATGAGCATCTGTCTGATTGTGGACTTTCCCCCTCCTGTTAGCTGATTTGTGTTTACTGTCTGTCACCTGAACGTGTTGCTGATCCCAGGCTGCAGAACAGAGGGCCACAGCTGATGAACGGTGGCAAAATAAACACTATTTACTGGGTCACTGATTTTTKTCCAGTCTGTGAGCTGCTGCCAAAACGGAGACGATTCAGGGAAACACAGGAAGCTCACAGTGTTTAAGAAATACCAAAGCTGCTGGCTGGTGTTTTGGAAAAAAGAAGAAGAAGAAGACATCTGAGCAAAAGCTGCTTTATGATCTGTTAAAACCAGAGTTGAATTATTACAGAAGAGATGCTAAAAAAAATGCAGGAAACTGGAAATTTTATTTAATAAGTTTGCAGCAGGAGATTTGTGAAAAGATGGGTTCAGACCTCAAAAACAAGTAATTTGAAAAGATTGCGTTGTGAAAAACATAAATTTTGTTGAAAAAATCATTTAGGATAAACATAAAAGTAGGCGTATTTGCTACTTTGTTGGTTTTCACCTCCCACATCATTCAAAACAAAGGCATCAGGTTTGTTTTGGTCACGCAGGTGGAAGGCTTTCTGTCAGGGTGGAGACATTCTTCTCTGTTTCCAGGGAGAGTTGGAACAACAAACTGACAAAACCCCGAGAACAACTTTACTTCAAGTCCTTCCTGGCTGTTTGTCGCAGTCGTGCAAAAAAATAAAATCTTTAGTTGAGCTTCAGTCACTGCAGGACACAACATTCATGATGTGATGAAGGGTTTAATGCACTATTTAATGCTTTAATTCTGATAAATGAATGTTTCAGGTTATTGTTTAAAGAAGAGGGKTTTTTTTAGAGAAACCGTCTTCTTTTGATCCCCTCTGTTCTTGTTATAYGTTTTTAAAACACGCTGTACTTCATGCCAAGATATTTTTTTTATTATCAGTGAATCACTTCTTAGAGCTGCATTAAAAGTTTGGTTTTTAGTGTATTTCATTTTTGTRTGGTCATTAAAGTGTGATTTTTCAGATGCAACCAAAGAAATTAAAAAAAGAACAAGATGTTCCCTCCATCCTTTTTAAAAATATAATTTTTGTCAAGTTTTCAGCGCTTCAGGAATCTGTTTTAAAATCTTAAATCCAGCCAAAAAAATGTTTTGCTCTTGTTTTGAGATTGATTTACTAAAAGGGAACTGAATGTGATTAATAATCTTATCAGTATGTGTAAGATTATTTATCTTGTTAGCCTAAAAATATAACTCAAATTAAGTGAAAAAATTCTGCAAACGAAATAAGAAAATTTTACTTGGTAAAATTCTTGAAATACCTGATTGTACTCAATGTTTTTTTTCAAGAATCTTATCCAGTAAGGTTTGTTTTAACTCCATTTACAGAATTTTTTCACTTAATTTGAGTCAAATTTCCAGGCTAAAAAATAATAATACATAATCAATAATTCTTGTTTAGTAAATCAGTCTCAAAACAAGATCAAATACAGCAGGTAAAATAAGTATTGAACACGTCACCATTTTTCTCAGTAAATATATTACTAGAGGTGCTAATGACATGAAATTTTCACCAGATGTCGGGAACAACCCAAGTGATCTATACATAAAAAGAAATCAAACCATAAAAGTCCAGTAATGAAGTTACAGTGGTTTGCAAAAGTATTCATACCCCTTGAACTTTTCCATATTTTGTCACATTACAACCA